ACTCTTGGTTCATATTGAGACTCCATAATCTGAAACCACAAGACAAGTTAGAAAAAGGATCTCAAATTATCTTAGCACTTTCGAAACCCCTCGAATAAAAGCCTAAATATCCTATTGCCGACCTCAATTCACTTCAGTAAAAACTCATCAACTGTAAAATAAATTACTAATCACGAAATATTCAACTAACCAGTCAAAGTGATTTCTATATGGACTTACGAAATAATATTAGCCGCTTGCCTTCTTCCAAAAAGGCATTATGTCTGATTTTAAGATAATATGTAACTCAAAATTCTCAAAAAAATTTCCAAAATAATCAATATGCCTGAAATTTATTTATAGCACAGTTTTTTTTTATTTCTTTTTTTTTTATCTTTTTTATTTTTTATTTTATTTATTTTTGAATAACATACTACAAAAGCTTCACCAAATAGAAAAAACATAAATTAATGTTGCATAATAAATTGATGAGGTTCAAGAAGGTGACACATTTGGGTCACAATTGTCCTACTTTCTCATCTGAAGAACTGATTTTCTAATAAATAGAGAAATTTTGGCCTGCCATCATTCACTGTCATTTCCAAAACCTTGGCAACACTAACTTCCTTACAATAAAACAGACACAAACCGACCGTTTCCATTGTCTACACGCACAAACACTTCCGTTGTCTGCAGCGTCTTCAAGGTGGCATGGCGCACACAGCAGGATATGACAAATTAATGTGGAATATATGACACCTTCGAAAGCGGACAGTGGCCACAACAGGCAAATAAATATGAATGTATAGACTATCGTTGCAAGTTAATGAATACCAATGACCAGCAGTTATCTACTCTGATAATGGTTGATAAATCAATTGCCAAAGCAGAGCGATGCTGGCTGGACGGACAAGCCGAATCGTAGGTCTAAAATCAGCAGAGACACATTGCAAACGGCGGGCAGCTGCAAGTAGCCCACACGTATGGGAGTTTTCTTTTAATGACATCATTTGTCATTTCTGCACCCTCAAACGAGACTGAGATGCTGGCGAATCGAACACACACATGCGGCGCACAGCATAATTTCACACGCATACCAAGCAGTGGACGGTTAGGAACTTTAAATATAGCTGATATTACTCCGCATGCAGAGTTGTCTGTGAAATGAAGTTGTCTGTGGCGAACAATAAATATTTGCAAGGCTGTGTACCCCCATGGCGTCATTATACGCTTGTTGCATGGTTCTATAGTCGCATTTAGATTGGTATTATATTATTATAAATTCATTATTTGCCGCAACAGACTCAATTAGTTACTGTACTCTTACGATTTGATATATTGATTTTGTACTTTTGTTTGTTTTTCGGTTTCGTACTCTTCGTTTTGCTAATGGGTGGCATCATTGTTGGTTTTTCTTGCAACTTCCGTCGCTGTTTCCGTCTTCACTGACTTACTTGCTTTGATTACTGATTTTATTTGTTTTGTTGCATGCAGTTAGGATATATCTTTATGGTCAGCTCTTAATTATGTTTTGACAGATGTGTGCAAAACATATTTTTCTTTTATATAAAAAACAAAAGACTTCTTTCCTCTTATAGTTTTGTGATTTGCTGCAATTGTCTTTATGTAGAGAAAATGAAATTTTCACATGTATTTCTCAGATGTAAGTGAGAGTGTAAGGGATACTTTGTAGGTTCAATAATTGTTTCGAAAAACTGGCATTTAATGACAGAATATTTCCGGCGCTGTTAGAACTTACTTTCCTTTACTCTCATATTAGAATGTTACGTTATAATCAGAAGCAGTTAAATAACTCAAACGGCTCATCACTTCACTAAGACTTAGACTAACTTCAGAGACATGAATTCTGCTACAAAATGTTGCTATTAAAGCTTTTGTAAGCTTAAGAATATGTGACATGTTGCAAGTGAAAGCTCAAATTATGTTTCCACAATATAATCTAGAATGAATATATTTCAAGGTTATTAGAAAATTTACAATTTAGCTACAAAAAAATAACACAATAATGTCCCAGGAATATTCTATGGCAAAAATTTCGTTTGCTGGAGATTTCATTGGCTTATGAGTTATGCAAGTTGCAATGAAAGCTCTGACAACTTTAATTTGAGAGATATGTGGGTGGGGCGGTGTCGTTGGAGAAGAGGCACACTGAATTTTTTTAACGGATAAATCGATACTTGCTCTTATTTCAGACTCCAGACCACTGCAGTGCTTTTCCAAGTGGCGGATTGTTTTAGAGAGGTATGCATCCACTTCGATACAGGCCTTGAGCTCGAAGACAGTAAGCTGAAAACTAGTCAAGGAGTGTATGACCTCATTGCCAAGTCTTCAAGTTACTTCCATATTAAACTTGTCTATGAGTCTGGCCTCAACAGCATGCTCGGAAATTATAAAGCACACTAGCTTGCAAGAAAAGGCAACCGTACCCAAATTCCATCAGGATGGGAGGTATTGCCCTGTCTTCGTGCACTCTGACGCGGGATCTAGGGGTTTCGTGCTCAGTAGACTTTTCATCAAAGTCTAAGTCTAGGTGTTGGTCAGCAATCAGCACTTGTGGCGTTGCGAGGGTCTTCTGGCCCAGTGTGGAACATAAAAGATCTACTGAACGCAATGACAGGCGTCCTAACTGGACATTGTGCCATTAGCACTCGTGCGATGAGGCTAGAGATTTTGGAAAATGCAACTTGTCTATTTTTACAATGAAGAACATGAGCTGAGAACACTTAGACACTTTCTTCTCCAATATATAGCTTTTGCTAGGAAGCTCAGGCTCAAGCATCTCAGAAAAGCGCTAAAAGATGTAAAATTTTATTCAATTATGTTGAATTTCTCACACACTTGGCATTCTCCCATGGGCTGAGCAGTATGAAAATAGACTTTCCAAAATGTCATTCATTCCAGCCAAATAAATCTCTAAGAGCGTTTTTATAGAATTGCAAGAGATCCCTTTACTTTTCTAAAAGTTCCTACACTTGCTGAAAATCAACTTGTTTATAAATTTAGTCACATCCACGATTATATTAATCCTTTAGAACATCAAGGGGCTCAACCCGCGACGCCACCGTTGCAAACTAACTCAATTATTGCAAATTTGTTTTGAAGCACCAATGCATTTGAAACCTAAAAAAACGGAGAAGCTAGATTGGACACCTCTCACCCAACACTGATTGTGACTGGCAAAAACCATTTCAGCGAAAATCTAATTTATAAAGACACTATTGATATTAGCATGAATACACAAGCACACTTATATCCGACGGCAGCACACATCTGCAGCATTGATTCGCTTTTACAACGCTTCCGGGCGGGCCAACGCAATGAAGACGTCTTGTGCGAAGATAAAAATACAAAGCAACAACAAGCAAAGCAAACTTTCGAATTTTTCAAATTTATATTATGACTGTAAATGACATATTGTTAACAAACTTTTGGCGTTAAGGATCTTAGTAGTGGCAACAAACACACAAATACAGAAAAGGCCACTTAAAAAGGATCGCCACGCACAACTAAACTTGCCTTTGAGAGTAGAGAGGGAGAGAGTAGGGTCTGCACATTCAACAAGCGCCGGCGTGTGGTGTGTGGCAATAAACATCAATCAGCTTTGTTTACCGTCTACTTGACGCAAAATGCTTCGGCGACTTCGTTTTGATGACACTGTTAGTGCGCTTGAAGGTGCCGCAAGCAACCCCAAACATTGTGGGTGGAGTGAGCAACATTTCGATGGCCTGCCGTGACCGTTGGTTGCGCTTGAAACGCGGGGAGATAGTAGGCGCATTTTTCGGAATTGTTGAAGCAGCAAATAATAATCAAAAAATATCGATAATAAAGAGAAATCTTAAATCTATAACTAACCGGTGAAATCATTGACTATACAAGAGCGATATAAAGGAGTAAAAAAACTGGTCGACAGCGAACACATTCCACAATACGGTACATGGAGTGAAGAAAGCATAAGTGTCCAGCGAGCAGATATTTATACTTACATATATAATAAAAGATAGATGGAAGTAATAATTCTAACCCAGTGGCTAGTGCTTTTTTGGTTGTTGGAAATATCCACTTTCCACTATGTTAGATATCTGCCAAAGGCTAAAAATTCTAGTGTCTGAGTTCGGGGAACTATCTTTGGAAATGTACTTGTATGTACATAATCATTTGCATGGAACTCCAGGTATATACACAGTGCGTTCAAGGTCGCGGCTAAACGACTCTAAACCAATTCAATATCCCACAGTAATTATTCCTTCGTAAAATTTATTACAGACGAAATTTTAGATCATATATTCTTGAGCCAGATCTATTAAATAGTGATGCTTGCTTAGATAAGTCAGGCTTTCAAGCACGTAAAACTAGTTATTTCGTTCGAGAAGTTCAAAGGTTTTGTAATTCTCGAACGGTTAATGAATAAACTTTAACAAAAGAGTAAAAATTATTGGTATTGCAAAAAGGATATGCCCATTTTAGAAGGTTTTGGGAAGATAGGTTTATTTTTCCGACGATCGCGCATATCTTCTTTGCCCATATATAGTATACACCCATTTCAGAAGTTTTTGGGAAACTAGATTTATTTTTTTTGCATATACTTGAACGCATGCCTCTCAACTGGTTATTTTGTCCACTGCCTTGGTTCCTTCGACTTTCCATTGTCAAGGAAACACATGTAAACAGAATAAATTCTACTCACTGTCTAACTAAAAAAAGTAAGTATGCTACAAATTCCTTTTCGTTCGCCTTTATTTACTTTACTTAAGCGCTTTTGTGCAGTTTTCACTTTCATTGGCTACCAAGGCATTCTACAATTTGTCTGTCTGTATCTGTGCAAGTACTTTTTCCCGACTTTTGTTGGCTTTGTTTGGCCAGACTAAGGTGTCAATAAAAATGTGGCGACGTCATGCTGAGACAGACACACACAACTACGCACACATACCGCTCGCACACACACACACCTCAGCTCAGCTCAGCATGGCTGAGCTCAACTCACTACACTCAGCTCTACTCACCTCTCAACGCTTAACAGCATTCAAGCATTTCCACTCGCACACCGGAAACGATGAGTACATGCCGCATCTGCAACGAGATCAGGAAGAAGAGAAATAAAAGAAATGAGTAGAGCACACAGATTGAAGATTTTCAAGATATTATTTTACTTATTTTTACTTTACACTACACTTTTTTTATTTTTTTCATTATGTTTTGATTTTGTTTTGTTGTGTGTTTGGTTGAATGTCAATTGCACTGTGGCTGTTGTACTTTCGAATAAAAGCAGTTAAACAATTCCCGAGTTACTTATGTACAAAAAAAGATAACTAAACGGTGTGAGAAATTAATATTTGTATGTGCGGGAGAAAGACAGTTGTTAGCTGCCATTCTAGAGTCTTCGCTTCGATCTGCAGCAAAATGCAGCAGACAAATACTCACCAAAAAAAAAAAACCTCGGCAAAATAATAAAAAGACAAAGCGAAACAAATAAACGACAGGACATAAGGCAAGTGATGAGCGTAAAATACTGCATTGCTGGTATCCCTCATTGTTGTTGTACATTTTGACTGCACTTTGTTGGCATTAGCGCGCACAAATGAAGATTTATATAAAACGGAAATAGTTTGGTGTGGAGTTGAGCATATAAATTTAATGCGGAAGTAATGCATGTCGCATGGACGTGTTGCAACACATCCACACACACACTCGAGCTCCATTGACTGCTGTGGGAAACCCTGATGCACCTATTTGTGCATGTATGAGTGCCGTTGGCCACTATGTGTGGTCCCGCTCGCCACACGACGCCCAACAGCGCTTTGGGTGGCTTCGCTGTCACTTTAGAGACGCTTGTGTGCGTACATTATGGGAAATGCCTAACCGTTGGCGGCATTGACAATTTGTTATTTATTGTTTTGGCATTAATTAACAAGTGATTTAAGAGGATTTTCCGCAGGTATTAGCAATTAATGACGGCATGTTAAATGCGTTCATGCCACAAAGGCGTTTCGTCACGCAGCCAATGCGCGCGCTTGTTGTGTAAGCCTTTGCGGCAGAAAGCTGCCTTTTGTATGCTAAATGCATGAATTGTATGTGGAGCAAGCTAGGGGAATGCAAATGCATTCACCCACAAAGTTAATGGCCTTACTGGTAAAGCACCTTAAGCTGCATGGGAAGTGCTCGACATAAAGCCGTGGCGGTCTCTTTGACTGAGTATTAGAAGGGAAATCACGCACAGCTTTGAGCAGTTTTTGCTGTCAACAACGACCTGAAATTACAATCCGCAGGCGGGCTCAAATTAGTAATGGGGTAGCGATCTGCTTCTTTCAGAATAATAAATTCTTCGATGAAGGCTACAGACGATAGGAATATTTTTTGTTTGTAGAGAGGCATTTTATACGTAAATTGCTTTTACATTTCGAGATTACGCAACCGCAATGTTGCAATTTTGCAACTCACAACTTTATTGTAAAGTTTGACATTTTTGTTGCTATACCTACTCAGAATGGTTTGACGTAAGTTGTGTTGTTTACAGTAACTTGAAATATTCATAGCGACAAAAAAAATGAAATTAAATCGCGAACAACGTATGCAATTTCAAATTTAAGAATACGAGTATAACCTGCCTAACTTTTTTTCTTTTCTCACTAATTTGACACTTTTTGTAGTCCCGTTTCACAAGTTCATAAATATGAAAAAAACATGCTGGTAACTACTAATGAAAAGATTTGATACTCCTACCAGAACCTTTTATGGAGTGCTAACACAGAGTTTGGAAACGTCAATATCGCTTTAGTTATCGAAAGTTCAACTACCACAACCACTCCTCAACGGTATGCAAACACCGTCACAATAGTTGATATTGACGCTGACGGTCATTGCCGATGGCATTGAGCTTTGCACGATATAAATTGAATTTCAAGAAATCGCTGGAGCATGAAACCTGTTTGTGAAATGTGAATTCTGTGCAAAAATCAGCGCACTCATTCTCTATGTCCTTTCGCCTTTCTGCGCACGAATGCATGCGTCAAGTTAAAGCAGAAGAGTAAAGCGCAGAAAGAGCAAATATTTGTATTTACAAGTACATTATATACTTTTGTAATTCACGAATGAAATTTAATAATACATATTCATAGACTCATTGGTAAGAAATCAGTGTCAAAACAAAGCCATAACTGAAGATTAGGCACATGAATAAATGACAAGAGCCAAAACCCAATAAGAAAATTTCACGTTAAAACCAGGCGGTATTGAGCGAATTTTGGATTACTCCCAACGAAATTTGAAGTTCACATATATTTTGTTCTGTTGATTGTAATCTGGTTATAAGAAGGGTACGAAACTAGTATATTTATATTAAAAGATTTATCGGACAGATTGATATTTTTTAAATTTTTTCTACGAATGAACATTCACGTATAACAAAACCACAGTTCTATGTTTGGAATTTTAAGTCTGCCGATGACTGAATAATAAATTCGACTTTCGACATTTGAAGCATTCACAATTTATAAAAAAAAAAAAAATTTATTCATTTTAATGGCAACTAATACGGTCATTTATTATGAGATTTCGAAAGCCATAGATATACTTCACATAAACTTCAATTCTTTTTTTTACTATATAATTGTTTATCGATATATCTTTAAATAGTTCTGAAAAAATATCGAAATAAAACATTATCGACACATTTTGAGTTTGTTTGATAGATAAATCGACAGATATAGCACACTTGTAATTTATTATCAAAATATATCTAATATATTACAAACAAAAACCCAAAATATTAAATAATACATTTATCGATAAATTAGAATTATGCAATAGTTGTATGCTGAACAACATAAGAACGACGTGTTAAGAATTCTGAAATACTTTATATGTCTAAATAATATAAATCGATAACTTTGTAAATTGTTTTAAATCGATATAAAATCGATTCATAAAATTAGGCGATAATCATTATGAAAATAATAATTTTTAGATAAATGTACACAAATCGAAATAAAATTTCGGCATAAACTTTCGATATTCCGATACAATCACGCTCTCCGTTATCGATATTATTACATTAAAAATAACCAATGCATATTTTTTCACGAAATTAGTAAAACTAAATATCTGTTATAATGAAAATGATAATTTTTAAATAAATGCCTTTATAAAAAATCTATGTATATAAAATTTTAAGAGAAAGTTTCGATATTTCGATAAGTCGACATAAATAGAAACATCTACGTTATCGATACTATCACATAAACTCAAATATGTGTATTTGCCAAAAATTCATAGCGAATCGTGCTTTCTTTAGAATGTCGTTTACCTTATTGATAACCTATTCGTAACCAATATTTAAATTGACCATTTCCTGCAAAGCTTCTACTGAATCTAAGGCATCCGGCATGTTTTTGCCTTTTCCAGCCTTATCCGCCTACTAATCTGCCAGCGTGGTGTGCAAATTGTCAAATCATTGCCGCCAAACAGCGCGCTGACATAACCAGCTAATACTCGCACTATCACGCAAACAGGCTGACAGGCGTTTTCCATGCTCCACTCGCTATGCCGCTCACCACAAGTAGCTATTTGTTAGCTACAGGAAAGACTGGAAGGAAGGCAGGGCTTGAGTTGTGTGGCAAGATATGCTCGGAATCGAAAAATACGAGCTTAGTATTTACTTCTATTCAATTGATTTGCTTTCCGCTTTGCTGCCGCCGCCACAAAAAACTACAAGTCATAATCAATAGACCAACAAGCAAGAAAATGGAAATACTTTCACATTCTCCACACTTTTTATTTTTCTATTTTCTAACGTTTCTCATTTTCGCCACTCATGCTCGCTATACATCAGTGTAGGAAATTTGCAGTAGCAACAAATTCAATTTTAAACGTGTCAGCTAATAACAGCCAACTCATTGGCATTTGCCGTCAAACGGAGTGAAAGGTACACAGAAAGATAGGAAGTTGGCTTTTTCAGCATTGAAAAGAATATTTATGCTCAGCGCTTGCATGTGTGTGTTTGTCTGCATTTGTTCATATATTTTATGGCTTTGTAATCTAATATCAGCCGATTATTTGTGGTTTTGGAGCGTCAAATGTCAATCAGTTTTCCACTTGGTTGCGTCAGTTTGCACCCACACTTCGTGAGGTTATGAATTTCGGCGTGTCAATCACATGTGCAACTTCGTGTCTACACACGCATTACTTTCTGCGATGCTTATTAGGTTAGAGACCCCCAAATCCCTGTGAGATAATTTATCTCTCCAAACCAGGAATTTCAAGAACGACTCGCCGACCATAATGTTTTAAGTTCCAATCATAAATGGTTTGAGCTTTGGCTTCCATCTTCGTTGACCGATTTCGCCACGCTTAACACCCTCCAGTCGCTAGTTGGCATGTCCGGATTCTGTTTCAGCCGTAAAACATGTTCCGAGTACACCACGACTTCGCTTTGGACACCAGCTCCAGTTAGCCATCCTGCTCCATCAAATGACGGCATGGATGCGCTAGGTTCGGCGTCCATTTTTGAGAAGAGGATTTACAATAGCTTCATTTACATTATTTTCCACCGCTGCTGTGACATTTGTTCCAACGGGTTCCTGCGGTCTATGAGCAATGCGGTCAAATGCCATTTCGCACTCTTATTGGCTGCCGCCGCTGCTTTGGACGTTGTCGGTTTGTCGTCCACTTGCTTGAGGTCTAGCTTCCCGACTACGTTTCTGCACCACCGCCTTGTACCTCGCTTCTGCCTTTATCGTCTCCTCGCTTAGCTTCTTCCGGGGCCCTCTTTTGTTGCCAGAGTTGGAACCCTCGATCACCTGCTCAGCAGAGCGAAGAAGTTCTCTTGCGTTTATTCTTACAGCGCTTTATTGGTCCGAGTTTTCTTGAGCTGTAGCTGTAAAGCTGATTTGGCAGTAGTACTGCAATCTCCGTAACCTTCTGCCGTTTCAGTGGAGGAGTGGAGGGTGGAGGTGTGGCCGCTGGAGGTGTGGCCGCTGGCAACAAGGCTCATATATATATTAGAAAAGAACATAAAAATTGTATTCTCGTACGCTTGCCCCACTGTAAGACACACTTCAATCATTCCACGTGAC